TAACCCCCAAATAACCTACCTGTTAAGGACTTATATAAAGAAATCATATTAGGGAACCCTAAAACAGGTAGGTTCCGCAGGGTCCAAGTGCTGATTATGCAGGATGGCAAAGCCCCCCAAAGGGAGATGATGGCTGGCAAACCCCACCAAACTCCCAAAAGAAGACAGGGGGGGTTTCCGAAAATTTCGGGTACATGATTTTGGGGTCCTTATATAAGGACCCTACTATTTAGGATACTATATTAGGGCCCCTTATTTTCGGAAACTCCCACATTAGTTAGTGGCCAAGCACCAAACCCTACGACACGAGGCTTGCTGATGGTTGGCGATGCCTGGGCAAGCCCAAGAAGACCGTGGGTGGCAAACTACAACTCCTACAATAAGAAGGCAGCTGCAGGGCTGTGCGGGAAAAGGAGCCGCCGCACCGCAAAACTAGTAGCAGCAGCAAAACCATGGCCGTGGCTTGGATTTCTACATCGGTCCTCGGCGTTATCCGAATCCGTTTACAGACTCTTGACAAACCCTCTCCTCTCCGTACTACCAAGCGATGCGGCCATTGGCCAATTCCCACGGGAAGGCTTGAGTGGCCCACCAACCGAAGATGCACTGTGACAAAGGCGCCTCTGAACTTCAGGGTTTACTTTGCGTCACAGTCGAGTGAGCTTGCGTAGCATTTACTTTAGGGTAGTTTGTTGTGCATTCTGGAACGTTGTGCTTTCGAAGTATGTATGTATGTGTGCATAAAGTGGGAAGCGTGATGCGGGGCTGCTGCACCCCCCCTCCCCCCCTGCCCCATGGTACCCTCCCCCCTTGCCTGTCAAGTGGGTAGTCTTCTTGTGTGGCCTTGTTGCTTTCCCCGTCTTCCTGGGTGGTCTTATTTGGCCTTATCCCTCCCCCCCCCCGTCGAGTGGGGCCTGTGGTCTTTTAGGTTGGCCCCGCTCCGCCTGTGGGGGGCTGTGTGTTCTACAGAGGTATGTTATGGTTTTGGCCGCTTGTTGGTAGTAGTGCATCGATACGCTGCTCTTCTCTCCTTGCAAATGGCGGGCTGACCGCCCCGAGCCACGGGGGGAGATACCATTGGGGGGGGTGTGGGGGCCCAGGAAAGCATACATATGTGTGCATGTGAGTAGTATAATGTAGTATATGTATGTATGTATGCATGCATGGCTGGATGGATGGGTGGATGGATGGATGGATGGATGTACATGCCGTATGTGTATGGATCCTATCAGAGCTCTAAAAGTGTAGTAAAGGGCTCTATATTTGCAGTATTTGTACGGGCTTTAGCGTTCACTAGGATACTCCCCTCACTCACTCCGCTCACTTACTCCCCTCGCTCAATGCCCTTACTCACTCCCGTCACTCACTCCCCACGCTTACTCCACGCACTCACTCCCGCCACTCACTCCCCGCACTTACTCCGCACACCCCCCGCACTCACTCCCCTCTGTATCTGCAATATGTAACTTACCCATGTACTACTACCATGCATTGGCGCTGACAAGCAACCAGAAAAACTCCAGAATGGCACTGCAAAAGCAGCCATTTCTTTCGTAATTCATGACTACATAATGGAGGGCCCGGTCCTGGCACTCTCAAGAAAAATAAAGCAACATCAATCGACCCTTCTTCTTTCCTTTTCGAGGCGTAGCCCCCCAGCTGCAGCGCTCGCGAATTTTTCTGGCTACTTTCCTCTCCTTTATTAGGGTAGCCCCCCCCCAACGGTAGCGCTCGCGAGTTTTTCTGGCTAGTTTTCTTGATTTCGTGGGGTGGCCTCCTATCCCCGGTACCTCTCGCGAATCGCAGGTTTGACAATTCAAGCCTGAAGCCTTAAACCGTAGCAGGCCTAGCCCGAATATCTATATCAGTGTCCACATCTATATCTATTGTAATCCGCCGCAGGCTGTTTACTTGGGGGTGATTAAGTTAGAGGGCTACAACCGCACTTTGCGCAAATCTTTGGTCCTCGATTGGTCCCCAACCTTCTGGGCGCGCCTCCGGGCCCCAGCAACAGCAAAGAACCACCAAGATTCGACCAATCTATCACCAAATCATCCCCCCTTAATGATACAGCTGGCAGCCCATTACAATACATCTACATCTATATCTAGTTTTGTATCTGTACCTATCTACATCAATATCTATATTTGTATCTGTATCTATCCCTATACCTTTTACTATACTCAAAACCATGCTCATGGAGGGACCGATCCTGGTGGAGAGGAGGGGTGCCAGTGGAGCCCAGTGGACGGGGGACCCCCTGCGGGGGCGCGGGGGCAAGGCATACAGGAAGAGGAAGGCTTGATGGACGCATTAGGGGTCAGTGAGGGGGGGGGGAGAGGAGGGGTACAATACACATGCGCATACACAGAGCTGCGACGAGGTAACGGTAGCAGAATCAACCACCGGAACCGCAGTTTCCGCATAGGATTAAGCCGCCAAGAGGCTGCCTGTTCTTATCGACATGGCTCCTATGCGGAGCTTCAAGTCTAAAATGTTAGAAGGTGACATCATATATAACATAGTATGGTATACTTCAATATATATATATATATATATATATATAACATAGTATGGTATACTTCAATATATTATGGTAAATATCAGAGCCCCGCACCTTCTCAAGGGCAGCAGATCTCTCAGCATCCAGGATGTCGGCCTCAGCGGCCTGGGGAACTGAGGCGCATACTACACTGTACTTTAAGCCTTTTAACCTGTAGTATATTGTAGTAGGGTTTAGGGTTTAGGGTTTAGGGTTTAGGGTTTATATGATTTTAAACTATGTTGCATTACCATATTATGTGTCATTGCAATATTTTCCGTTCTCGCTACAGCTACATTGGGTCATATTATGCTGGACTTTCCGGCTTTCGTTCTGAGTCGAGGAGCCTTGCATAGGCCAAGCACTCGCAGAGTGCTGTCGCCATCCCTGAGGAAGCAGTGTAGCAGTGTTAAACCACAAATAAGCCTTCTTTTCAGCGAAGCCCTGCTGGGCATCTGGCTGTGAGGCTTGCTTCAACAATGCCTCACTGACTCGCCGAGCCTGCAAACCGCTGCGATCCACATGATATCGACCGTCAATCGGAACCAATGTCGAATGGGCCTGGTCTGCTCGGTCATCTGTGCTGAACACCTGCGAATGCTAAATAAAGCAGTGACCCCGGAAGGTCAAGCTGCAAACCTTCTTTCAAATCGCAGTCCTACGAAGCAGCACCAAGTCTAGTTGAAACGATCCTTTGGCACATCTCTTGGGGTCGCAAAAGCTACGTCTGCTGGCTCCGCAATCGCGGGCACAAGCTGCCGCCTGCTCCAAGTTGAGAGCCAGCTTAGCCTGCGACCAAAGCTAGCTATTTAAGCTTCCGGTTGTAGGGCATCCAACATCATGACTGTCTGTTTGCCGAAGATGCTGCTGCGAGAGCCTGTGCCATGTATCTCGCAGGTCGACATGTAGGGAAACGGAACGCAGCTCTCAGCTTGCAATGCAAAGCTATCAGTGCTCTGGTGGTTGTGGTTTGGGCCGTTTGGGGCCAAAGGATACTAATGCAAACTTGCAAGCGCCCCTGCTTCGTCATGGCCTTACTTACAGAGACCTTGAGTTGCAAGAGATGAAGGAATGTCCGGCTGCAACGCTATCTGCCAGTAAAATGTCGCACAAATTGAAAGTTGTTAACGCACCTTTCGGCAAGATTAGCAGTTGGTACCAAGAATCTTCAACGAAACTCTGCGATTAGTCGTCTGCGCACTTCGCATCCGTCCCGATTGAGCTTGAACGTACCCGGCAACAACTTCAACGCTGGAAGATATATGACAGCTCTAATCTATGTCGAATCGAAAGGCTTTCACCCAACGTGTTCCTTCATTCCAGCTCGGACGCACCGTACTAAAGTGAGGTCCTCCCAACTAACACTGCCAGCTCAGCAACTACACTGAAACTACATGCGAAACGAATACCAGACATGTTGCTCGATCAATCCTTCGACAACCATCCATTGTCAGACTTGTACACAGGACAGAAAACCAACCATCAAATCTCGCTTCTCAACCTCCCTTCAGCATGCGACTTCATGAAAATACTTCCATGTGCTCGGCGTCAACCCTGGTTGAAGCACAGGTTTGAGTCTTTTAAGTTCGTACTTCGAACGTGGTTCAACGCGAGTTTAGTAATAACGCGAGCTGAACTTGTTGAAAACAACAATGCACATGTTTTGCGTGCATGACAAGACCTGTCTAGGATTCCACAAGTGACGACCCGTTATTGTCACTTCCCCGGGTCACACCATGCTTCCTGACGGGAAGAAACACTTGTCAGCTACAAGTAACATCAACGATGCATTTACGTATACCCACGAGGCACTGCAGGGAAACAAATCGAGTTCGAACTACCATCATGGGGAAAATATTCTGCCTGTTGCTCGTACAAGTCGTCCAGTTGCGGCACGTTGAACCAAGACATCATACACAGAATGAATTTAACAAGCGAGGCTGCCAGCAAAGCCATCTGCATTGCTATGCTTTTCCTGCGCAACATTCGAAAGGACGTTACACGAGAGAACAATGCGACCTTGAGCCACCCCACACTCGCTCGTGTTTTCCGCGACATTCCGCGACAACCTTGGCGACGCAGCAGGGCAAAGGAAGGTTCGGTAGTGCTCCACACCACCACTGCTGTACAGGCAATCGTGCATGTACCAGGTATAAGTGACACCCGTGGAACAAATTCAAGTCAAGACCATGAATTTGGTCTAAGGTCTAAGGTTCAGGGGGCCTGCAGCATCACTAGCTGGGGCCATGGTGCAGTAGCAATTTTGCGCTCAGATGTTACTCATCAGTGCCCAAAATTCTTGCCGCATCGCAGCATGAACTGTTCGGCAGACGCAACTGTCTGGCTGCATGAAACTTAGCACCTAAACGCATAACGATGTCGAGTCTACGTGAACTTTGCACTTTGCATGAATGCCCACTGGTAGCCTTCTGACCTTCAGTCAGACCTGGCTGGAAACCTAGATGGCCAGGGCACATCTCCTCGACTTCGAAAACAGGAAGCCGCACGCCAACGCTACACACAGATTGCAAGCAAAGTTAACAGCCAGCGCTCCGAGGCCCATGGTCTGAAAGACGAATCCCCCTGCTATGCTGGCCAGTGCGACGAACCCGCCGGCGAGAACCACCATCATGCTGCACAAAATGTCCTCAGTCGCTTCAACATCGTCAAACATACGAAATGTTATTGTGGCTTGTAGAAACTCGCAACCCAGGGGTCCTGCGGGCCTTTAGGTTGTCTGTTCCCGCGTAGAGCAGAAGCGCATACAATTTGGCAGAGATGAACGGTTGGCTATTCACACAAACATTGGACATTCCAAACATGGTTTCTGTGTTAGAACGGAGCTTTCCTTGAACTGTGCCTACTCGGCTACACTCGCAACGTTTCCTGTGAGCGGCCTTGTAGCGCTGGTGGTTCGAGCCTTAGTGTCGCGGCCGGTTCCTGCCATTGTACCTGTAGACATGGCACTGCACTGTCCTGAATCAGAATGCTTAACATTTTCACCTTTTCCACGCCCCCTCTCAAAACACCCATTGCAGACTGTATGATGTTGGAGGTTGTCCAGGCTGGCTTGTGTCACCAGAATGCCCACCACCCGTATGTCCAGCAGTGCATACTGGGAGGGGGGAGATAGAGCTAACACACGACGGCTGAAACATGAACTCACGGAACCAATCAAAAGGGGTTTCCGCCCAAGGGCATTGCTTAGCGTTCGGCTACTGTGGGAAACTTCTGCTGGTTTAGTGACTTTCATGGGCCTCTACCATTTCTGTATTTCTCTACCCATTGCCAATTGAAACCATTGCATTCATGGCTTTGTGGTTCAATGATGGCTAGGTGGCCAACTCTTGGCGTAGTGCGGCCCCGTGGCCACTGGGAAAGGCCAATGATACTGCAAGTTTAGAGAATGCCAGTAGGCGTTTCATTTAGAGAGACATTGAAAGGGTTACAACAAGAACAACACTTGCTGTGGTCAGGAGAGCACAGGCTTTCTACACGAATCACATTGATCTGCAATCTGAAGTTTGCCAATTATAGTTGCGATCGGCCACTTAATGGTTCGTACAAAATGCCCAGACCGAAGCGACCATGTCCAAGTGCCAAGAGTCAAAGGCGAAATATGATCGTTGTCTGCGGAGCAGGTATGCCAGCATTAGTGAAAGCAGAACCAAAGCGGGTATCGCAGCCAGCCACATAGTCAGACCACCCACAAGCAAATTCAATATACTCAATACATGTTCCGTCGAGCCTGTCAGGGTCAGCAACGGCCACCACGGGTTTCCCAGGAAGAACCACATGACGGGACTGGCCGCTCCAACCACGTGCCAATACAGGAACAGCGGACTCGTCAACTGTTCCAAGAGAGCGGCTCTCACGTTTCCCTTCACATGTACTTCAAAGCTGCTCAGGTCCCCGTACCACAGCTCAATGCAACGCAACAAGATTTCGCGGTCGCAAGCCATCGGCTCACCATTGGCATCTAGATGCCCTGCATCGCAGCAGCCGCACTTGGTCTGCCCAGTGCTGAATGTTGCCAGAGCCTGCTGCAAATCGTCGATGCTCCGGCAAAAGGCTCTGCCGACATGACTTAGAATCAAAAACAATGGCAGGACCACGGAGAGCGGAATGAGATAAGCGGCCAAACCGCGCAATGAAGGACCGTAGGTACTTATGAGTTCGGCACCAAGCAGAATCACGACGAGGCTCAGGTTAGACGTCACAAGAAGAGGCCCGAGGAGGACGGGGCGAGCACCCACGTTTCGCTTTGCGTCTGTGCCCTGCTTGCGGCTGTGCAACCAACCTGCGAGCTCGAAGACACACCAAAGGCGCGCCATCCAAGTGCGGTCCCAGAGAATGAGCCTTTGCAGCCCAGATTTCTGGCCATTGCAACTGGATGAAACTAACTGTACTGAGCATGCTTCGAAAAAACTCTAAAGTAAAAAATACGTAAACTGATACTACAATACATCAAAGTATGTCATACATGTATATATCTATAATACAGTATGTTTTAATGGCTGCTTAGAAACATCCTGGAAGAGCTCTTTAAGATGGCTCCGATGCTCAGCAGGGCCTCCCCTCTGGCACTGGGTTTCTCCTGGTCAATGCAGATGATGTCGAGGAACACACGCCGTTGAGATGGCCAGAAGATCAAGGCAAGGTAATACGTCAGGGTCCCGAAGAGCACGGTCCAGTGAGAACCGGCAAACCACCGTTGCCAGCCGCGATGATCGACGGGCAAAACCTGCCTTTGAAGCAAGACTGCCGCCAGAACAGCACCAAAGAGCCCAAGGACCGCCGCGGCAAAGCCGTTGCTCACGAACAGCGCCGTGGTGCTTTTCATCCTGGGCTTAGAGGTAACCCCAAGAAAGATTCAAGTATGATCAAGTATGGTTCACGCATGATCCGTCAAGCACCCCGTATACCACATTCGATCATCCGAATCCGAGCATCCAAGGCTTCCAATGCCAACTGTGGGACCAAAACTCGTCGATGTGGCGAGTTGCCCGGCTATATTTGTGCAAATGGCAAGCATGGTCAAGTTTCGCACGGAATGCTTGCCCACATATCCTTACTTGCCCACCACCCAAAAAAGATCCTAGCCCTAGATGCTTCCCCCAAGACCGTGGCTTTGTATTGCAGATCTGAGTGTCCACAACGCGTGGCGGGCCGGAACGGCTCGGATGATCTCAGGCCTGGTGGCCCGCATGTTGGTCATAATTGCCACCTCAGTCTCAGCTGCTGAGTTACCTAGACCAGAAAGATTTTAACCGTGTCAACATGGTTGTATCCCATATATGTGCTTGTTCTACCTTAAAGTCTCCTATAGTCTCCTGCTGTAGTACATTGTACTAGCAGCAGGGAGTACACCCCAATCCCAGCTGAGTTACCATCCCATCGCGGCGTTGATCACGCAAAGTGCTTACGTCACGGGACGCCTCTGACAGCTCGCCGGCGCTGGAGGCAATGTCTACCAAGTCCACATCCTCTGAGCAAGGTGCGATGATGGCTCTCTGAAGGTTGCAGCCCCAAACCCTAGCACCGTAAACAACATGCCCGTCGTACATGATCCATCAGCTTGACCAAACCGGATTTGAAGCCCATGCAAGAGTGCAACAGGTCGTTGACATAGAAACAACCACCCTATACTCCAAAGGCTGAGGTCAATTGTTGATCCATCAAGCAGCCAAGTCACCAGGGCGTCAAGGGGATCACTGAGTGGGCCTGCGTCGCCGGGCACCGCCGCATCCTCTGAGCAGGGGGCGATCATGGCTCTCTGAAGGTTGCAGCAACCGCAACAACATGCCCATCATGCATGATCCGTCAGCTTAACCAAAGGGGATCTGAAGCCCACACAAGAGTGGGACGAGGCATCAATGGTTATTCCACCGAACAGCCAAGTCACCAAGGCATTGCTGCCAGCTGAGTGCACTGAGAACACGCTGGGTCGGGGCGGGCTCACGCCGGGCTCGTCAGGATCCTCTAGGATCGCACCGATGGGACGCCCTCTGTAGTCATCCATGGCTCTCTGAAGGCTGCAGGCACCCGAAATGCTAAACCTCTGAACCTCAGGTCAAACATGTCGTAAACCTGAAGCCCCCCTCGACTGTGCAAGCAATTCCGTTGCTCGTGAAACTCTTGAGCCCTCCAGCGGACGAGAAGGCCACATTAACCCCTCAAACCGTCCTGAGCCCCAGGCGTCCTGAAGCAGTCGAGACTGCTTCTGCAATCGGGGCACTACATGCCACGGCCTTGCCTCGTATCGTGAGAACGACTCAATGTGTACAGTCTTTCATGCACACTATACATTGCAACCAATCAGCATTGCCCTCTGCTGACACTTTTTGTCATGCCACAACAACATCGGTCAGAAGCAGCTCTGCCTCTGACCTAGAGGCCTAGAGGCAGGCAGGAAACCGAACTGATACTCCAATCACTGTCAACACCAACCCTCATGGCCTCATTGATATACAACGACCGGCTTCGCAACCGTCATCGTCCGCTCTGCCCGACCTCTACACACAGACACGAATGTCGAGCTCTGCGTGGAAAGTCCTGCTGGTGTACATGCGGAAGATCGCATCACCTGCTAATTTGGCAGCAGGCCAGCCGAGAGAGAACCGGGGCAGCCTTACCACTCTGGCTCTGGCAGATAGACAGGTTTTGTCGTCGACTTGCCCCCATCCCCACACGCACGAACACACCACTGTGCAGGGCTAAGGCACTGAAACACTGTAACTGACCAGCTGAAGATTCGCGACTGTCCAACGGCAAGGCAAACCCGATCCTGAAGCACTGACATTGGAGCTTGCCGTCCGATCTTCCTCGCTCGCCTCTCTTCAAGCTGGCTGTCCGCCGCTCTTGAACAGAAACAACGAAACGACCACCTCCTATCCGAGCACCGGTCGTTCAATCCTTATGCCATCTACTTGGGGTTATAAGTCCCTTAATATGGGTTATACGTATAGTTACCTTACTTATAACCCTACTTATAACTACCCATGAACCTCCTAGTACAGTATTGACACTCAGTATGCGCTGTTGTTTACACGAGGATGTCCCGTTGCTCGATTGCCGGGCCTAGCTGACAGAAGCAATTCACTTGGGAGTTTCCGAAAGTAGCGGAGTAGGTACATTACTACAAGGACCCCAAATAGGGTACCCCTAATTGTCGGAAACTCCCACTTCTGGCCAATCAAGGAGTGGCAACCAGACGTCCTTTCTGCCACTCAGATGCCGGCAGCAGGTCACCTGGCAGCTTCAGGTGGGCCGAAAAACTGGGCTTAAAGCTCAGTGTCCTCTTCAGGGCAAAGCAAAACGCAACAGGACGAGCTGCAATCTCAGGCCGCACTTGTGCAACCTGGTTCACTAAACCCTTAACTCCATTTTCCAGTTTCCGCATGTCTCAGAGCCTCAGGGGAGGTCAGCTCGGCTGCAAACTTGCTGAATATTGACGCGAGCTTGTGCCACAGAGCGATACCCGTCGATGAACTCGATCAGGGGCTTCGCACACTCCTGGGCATTGTAGTCCGAGTCCTCAAACCTTCCTGATAACTGTGGGTTTGTGGTACGGAAAGATAAACTCCACTCCCGGCTGCGTCCGCGCCTGTCAAAGGATGTGGAGAAGCATGCGAGGGGGACCATTGCTGTGACAGTCGAGCCGCCATCGCCGCAAACACGGAAATATGACTTTGCAGATATGCAGCCCCCTCCAAGCTGCTTTGGGTAGGCAAGGTCAACATCAACAACGTCCGGGGTGAGCGGTACAAGGCATTGCTTCAGCCGGCTGCAGGCCCACTGGCTTCTGCTCTCAAAGGGCCATCTGTCCCAAGAATCCGTGTCCAGAGCATCCTTGGGCGTCAGCCCGCTCTGGAAGTAGATGTCCGATCTCATAGCCAGGCCCCAAGAATAAATCCTGCTGGCTTGCAGCCAATGCCGCGTAAGATCCTGACAAAGCTGCCTGTGGCGAGCCTCCTGCTGTGTCTGCATGTATTGGAACAAGATGTCGAAGCCAGGCTTCTTGTTGGTTTCGGACTCATACCTGCATGCTGTGTGTCCGATACTATACTTCGATGGGGAACATGCACCTGACAGAAAGAGCCGGGCCGAGATGCAGCGAGAAGGCAAAGCTTACCATGCCCAGCGTCGCAGTAGCCAGGCCGAAAAGGCCAATTTGCCCGCTTTGCCGAAGGCCTTTCAAAAACACAACACAATCAATATATATATATATATATATACATATTTATATACATACATACATACATACATACATACATACATACATACATACATATATATATATATATACATATATATATATATACATAGACATATATATATATGTATGTATATACAACTCAGAATACCACAAAAACTAGGGCTTTCAAACTGCTCCGGCCTTGGCCCAAGGAGGTCGCCGTTAAATCCAGCGATGCTTCTGTCGCTCGCGGTGCCCTGCGCTCGATGTCCGCCGTGCACAAACCTGGGCCCAGGCTGCCAGACAAGTTCCGTCGCTTCGCTTGGCGGCCGCTTTACGAAGCGACGTGGAAGAGTTAACACGGTTTAGGGTTTAGGGTTTAACGTGCCAAAAGAGAAAAGATAATGGATAGACTACAAGCGTCTGGACATTATCGCATCCAGACGGTATCGCTTCAACTTGGCCGAAAGAAGTCTTCGGGACCACGCATCTTTCAGCTCGGTCTGACCACATTCCAAGTATGTGAAATTCGTCGCGACCTGACTCCTTGGCTGGGCAAGCAGCACTGCAGCACCGAACCAAGCTGTCACTCTGCCTTCCTCGGACTTCGTTCATGGACTCTTCGCACCATACAGCTTCTTTGCGAGGCTCCTGCACTCTGCCAGCTGCTCTGGGAATCTGGTTGCGGCGTCCTGCCCCGAGGGTGCACGCACTCAAAACCAACAGGGCTCCGGGCCAGCAACAACACAAACTGGAGAAGGGAAGCAGCGAAAGAGGAGCTCCAAATCCAGTTTCGAGCATTCTTCTCGAAGACTGCGCACCATCACGTCTTGCATGTGCTCCAGTCGTTTCTCATCTGCACAGGCCTGCCGTACCTGGCAACTTGGAGCTTCAGGTTTGGGGAGAAAGCCTTAGCTCAGGTGCCTCTGGCTCTGCTGCATCGTTGTGGAGGAGCTCCTCAAGACCTAGCTGCCCGTTGTAGAGCATGGCATCGATGCTGCTGAGCAATCTGCAGTGCTCCCGCGAAGTTTCTGCCATGTCCTGGACAAGCTTCGTCGCCGCCAGATCCTGCTCCTTGCTTCTCTTGATCCTCCAGGCTAGGACTGGGAGGGTTCAAGTTTAGTCACGACGTTGGACCTAGGACCTAGGACCTGTACGTCTGTTGCACATGGAGCTTGCAGTGCGATCAAGCTGCGAGTGCCAGGACTTCCGAATCGAGTAGACCGAGCCCAAAACTCCCAAAATGCCAAGAGTGATGGTCACCGGCTCTGCCACCGTCTGGTTGCTCCCGGACTGGCCACCAATCCTTGCACAGTCAACTTGCTGACGTAGCAGGCAGGCCAGCAGCAGCGCGATGAATCTTGCGCCAGCCATGGGCCAGCCAGCTGGCTTCGCCAAGCTGTCTCGTGAACTTTGCAGACTTCTCTCCTGCTTGATCCGACACTGACGAAGTAGCCTCTTTTGCAGTGGTTCGGGACACGGCAGAGAGAAGGAAGTTGAAACAACGAGAACCCCAACACTTCCGACCCAGCCTCTCTTCCCTGCTAGCCGAACAGTCCACGCGACAACCGCTCTTGGTGCGTCTAGCCTTCCCGAAGCCTCACAGACACCCTCACGTTCCCCTGATACTGCGAGAAGCACTTCGAGTGCTTCAAGCCTTGGCCGTCGCTTCCGGCAGCCTTCGTCTTTGCAAGGCCTCAGGAGCGGTAAAAGGCCACAAACTCAGCTAAAGCGCGTGTGGTCTCTTCCCTCGCTTTCACGTCACGCTGCTCCGAAACCAGCACTATCATTCATTCAATCCAGCTGTTTTCCTAATTCATTACTGCTGCGCCCGATCCCTGACTTTCACCAGGACATTCGCGAGCTGGCTTTGACGGGATGTTTTCAAGCATAGAAGGATTCGGTCGACAAGGACAAGGCAGGAAACGCAGAGATGCGAATGGAGCTACAGCCGTAAGGGAGGAGGCTGCGTCTGGCGGCCTTCGGCGCTTTTGGATGGAAGCTGCGGTTCAAGCGCCCCGGTGCTCCGTGCTCTTCGGGCCAGTCTTCGGGATCCAACTCCATGAGCGTGGCCTCCACTCGCACCGGGCAGTCCCTGTTTGACATTGGCTTCGGTCCTGGCGCCTCCATGCGGCTCACCTTCAGTTCGGGATCCGAAGGCATCCCCAGGCGCCAGGGCAGCGTCGCCGTGATGTTCCAGTCCGAGGAGTCGAAGCCATAGTAGTGAACCGAGCGATGCTGCTCCGCCAAGTCCAGTGCCAGCAACAAGGGTCCCAAGAAGGCCGACACGCCTTGGTCCACCGATTTTTGAAGATGAGGCACCATGGGAAACTCTATACGAACGGCAAGGCGATTGCTCCCTGAGGCCGGGATGTGGAAGAGCAGAAATCCCTCCTTCACAAAGTGCGGCTCCTTAGACGGATGACATCGTGTTCCAATATCTATCTATATATATATATATATAGATATGTATTTATTTGTTTATATCATGCTCTAATTACACTATGGAACAGTACAGTGTAGCACATCATCGAAGTATGTATACACCCTTTGCACTTGCACCCGGTGCCACTCAAAGAAACCAGAAGAAACATGCTCCAAGAGCGGCAAACAAACAGAGTTGAGAGTGAAAGCAACTCGCAAAAGATGGGAGTTTCCGAAAAGTAGGGGTACTTTATTTTGGGGTCCTTATAATAAGGATCCGACTCTTTAGGGTACTATATTAGAGTCCCCCATTCGGAAACTCCCAGATGGCGTGGAGGAGCGCTGAACAAGAATGGAAAGTGCAACCTACGTGTGGCATGTCACAGACTTTCACTCGAGAG